CCTTCATTTCCACCATCACCTATTCTCATTGTTATTGTCATTTCTTCCATCATCATTGTTTATATTGCCACCAGTATTATTAGTTATATTATTTTTTGCTGCTTCACTTTTAGCCACTATAAGACTAAGATGGGAAATTTAACGTTTGCTTAGGACATAATTGCTATGTTGATACCACATACACATCAAGAAGGTTGTTAAGTTCCAAAGAACAACATCATAAAAAAATCGTGCAAGAATGCATAGTTAATGTATTAATATGACAATTAAGAGTCATGGATGACAAGATCGTCTACACCAAATCGAAAAGTATATTTTGTGTATCTAATCTATAGTTTGATATATTATAAAGGTAATGTAACACCCCAAAAACTTTTGCACTTAATTTGTAACGCGAACCCCTATTTATTTGAGTTCTAAGGCTATTTAAACTTCTTAAATATTTTATAATTTTAATTTTCATATAAATATCGTATTTTGTATTTTGATTTAATTAAATAATTCTTAAAATTTATTATTTTATTTCTAGAAAAATTATATTTTTTATTATTTTAAAATAATTTTCAGGAAAAATAGAAAAAATAGTGGAAAAATCTCGCGGGAAAGGTCCTGTCGCGCAAGTACTGCACGCTGCACACGCATATTAAGGCAAATGAGTGTCAGATACAGATTCAGAATAACGAGTGCATGATAAAATTTTATGCAGCAGAATCAAAGTATAACAAATTTCTTACAAATATATATAGTGTTCCAAATACATATAGAAATTGAGGCCAGAAGTGGCTACAAAATACAAAACATAAGGGCCACTTCTTTCACTATGTTATTGAATTCATCAGAGTGCGGGAACAATCATGCACTCAGACTTATGGATCCACAGGATCCTCATAGACTTCTAAGGATAGGTCTGCTTGCGGTTCCTCATTTTCTTCCTCATCTACAGGGGCATGAAAAGAGTGAGTTTCATATGCTCAGTAAGAAAAACAGTATTAAATTAACATCGTAAGATTTCAAAAGTTTATTATTTTATCTTACCATTTAACTTCCTCGTTTATCTATCTCACCATTATGAAAACTATTTTTTTGTTAAAAGAATGATAAGTTAGCATAGAAAATTAAATATACATTATGTCAGATAATAGAGAAAATTAAATAAATTATGAAATTGACAGATTTTTTGTGTCATACTTTGCGAAGTCATTACAAACTTCCATCTCTGATGGCAGATAGAGATTTTCAACTACCCAAGTGGAATGATCAGATCACATACAGATACGATAATTTGTTCGTACCCACTTCCGGCTGGCCAAACTATGGTATAATCTATTACCACGGTCATACCAACTATAGTGGTCTTAATATATATCTATAGTCATGATATTAATTAGCCACGGGTGACCCCTGTAGATAGTGCGATATCACTCTCGTTAGAGGGCACGCCGTCATCTACTAGGAGCGGTCCTTTTACGTCTTTCAAGACCAGATAGGGGAGGGGAAAACAGATACCTCGAAGAGAGGGGAACAGATACCCCTTAGAGATAAAAGTCTAACGAGACACTTAATGCAATATGCATGTCAATACAGGTACACTTCGGATCATACAGGCTTCATTCCACTTTTCTCTTTTTTTCTTTTCTTTCTTTTTTTCTTTTACTGTTACCAATTACATATTACATTTATTACATGCAAATTCATCAAGTGTCTGTAATTCACATAACATGCTTGAAAATCAAAATAACTTAACTCATTTGAACACATAGACATACAAAACAGGCAAATAATAATCATATTAAATTCGTTTATCTAAAAATACTCCTTAAGATGTCGAAAGTAATATTAGATTCCTTACTGAAACCACGATGATTTATTCTTTACCGTTTTCCTTTATTTTTCTTATTCTCTCACTAATCTATTATATATATATATATCTCTCTCTAAACATTTAAAAATGGAAGAAATAAAAGTGTAGAGAGGAAGGGAAGGGCGAGGACAATTTACAGAATTTTAGAACCATTGGATTCGCGACAAATGAAAAAATATGGAGAATAGAAATGAGAAAGAGATGTTCGGCACAAAAAATGAGGGAGGAGGACCTCCTCCACCAACAACGGTGGCGTGCTGCATAAGGCAGCGGCAGTGCACTGCACAAGGTGGGAGTGCGCGGCCGATGCGCTACAAGCTAACCTACAGGTGCACAGGCCTATTGTTGTGTGTGCAAGGCCTAGGTGCGCGCAAGCCTACTGCGCACAGGGCCTATCTGCACAGGCCTACTACGCGAACGATGCGCGCACAGTGTGTGGCACCTGTCTGTGCGTGAGGTGACGTGTGAATGGCCCGCCTGCACGCAACAAGAGGCGCATATAGGTCTTGAACCCGCGTCGTGCGCACGGATGGGACATGTGTGTGTGCTTGTGGGTGGATGGGGTGTGCGCGTTGTGTGCACGCCCTACGGCCACTTTGCGCGCAGACGCGCGCATAGTGCCCAGCACTCGTGCGGGCAAACTGCCCTCTCGCGGGATTTTCCCGTTTGTCATTTTTATTTTTTAAAAATTGTCTTTAATTATAATAAAATAAAATACTTTAAAATACATAAAATAATTAAAATAAATTAAAATTTAAATAAAAATTAATAAAAATAAAAATAAATTAAAATTATGAATCACGAGAAATGTTAAACAGCATAAATTAATTGAGTTTAAAGCGGTCAAAAACATGAATAAATAGAGTTTCCAAATCATTTTAGCACAGTGATGGGGGGTGTTACATCCTTCTCACCTTAAAAAAATTTGGTCCCCAAATTTGTCCCGAAAAAGTCTGGATATTTTTTCCTCATTTCGTCCTTTAATTCCCATGTCGTTTCTTCTGAGGTATGATGTTGTCATCGTATCTTCACTATGGGAATCATCTTGTTACGTAAGACCTTATCAATCTACCTGAGAATTTCTACAGGAATCTCCTCATAGGTCATATTGGCCTGTACCTGTACCTCATTGCGAGGAATAACATGAGAATGATCAGGGTGATACCTCTTGAGCATCGAGACATGAAAGAGATCATGCAAATCTGCGAACTCTTGAGATAGGGTGAGGCGGTATGCCACGGGTCCAAAGTGATCGATGATCAAAAAATGTCCCACATAACGATGACTCAACTTCATTCTTTTTTCAAACTGCATATTGCCTTTGTAGGGGTAAACTTTTAGAAAAACTTGATCTCCCACGGTAAATTCCAGGGGCCGCCTACTATTATCGGTGTAGCTATTTTAGCGACTTTGGGCAGTTTCCAAATTCTTGTAGATGATTGCGACCTTCTCTATGGTCTCCTGAATGAAGTCTGGTCCTAAGTGGCACTAGTTTCTGACATCACTTCAACAAGTAGGGGAATGACAAGGCCTTCCATACAAAGCTTCATACAGGACCATACCGATGCTAGAATAATAACTGTTATTATAAGTGAATTCACAAAGAGGAAGATACTCATACCAGTTATCACCAAAGTCGAGAACTCAAGCACATAACATGTCTTCCAAAATCTAGATCATACACTCTAACTGATCATCCGTATGGGGATAATAAACGGTGCTGAAGTACAACCCAGATCCTAAAGCTTCTTGGAAGCTGTCCCAAAAGTGAGAAGTGAATCAGAGGTCGCGGTCGGATACAATGAATGAGAGAACTCCATGAATTCGAACAATCTTATCAACATCTAGGTGGGCTAACTTACTGTTGGAGTTCATTGTTCGAATAGGCAGGAAAATGGGTAGTCTTGGTCAGCCTATCCACAATGACTCAAATGGCATTTCGAACAAAATAGGTCCTGGGGTAATCCAGTGATAAAATCATAGTCACGTGCTCTCATTTCCATTCAGGAATCGGAAGACCCTGTAGCAAGCTACCTGGTCTCTGATGTTCTGCATTTATCTATTGACAAGTAAAGCATCGTAGACGTAGTCAATTATATCCTTCTTTATTCT